TGGTAATGACGATTGCTGTAATATTTGTTCAGATTTTTGAAGTTTAAATTTCGATACTAACGATGAAATTTTATACATAATAGGCTATGAATTAATTTGAATTCAAATTATTTAGTGTTAGTGTGAAAAACACATATATTTGGCGAATTTCACCATTACCATGTTTATTTGAATGGACATGTGGCTAGACAATTCAAAGTAGTCGACGCTAACAATTAAACAGCGACTGAATCCGTGATAGTGAACAAAATAAATAACACATTCGCTAGTTCCAAATATATGGTTGGACTTAGTGACGAAATCCCTCACTAAAGTTCGTCACGATATCCATCATCAATTTAAATTCCCTTTTTTGTTTTCTACGGCAAAAAATAACGGCTTTGGCGACAAAGAATGTCTCTTGCTAATAAATGTTACTACGGATGTGTTGGAGTCCCATTTTTTTGAAAATTGAGTTTTGTAATAATAATTTTTTTGAGAATGTATTGTTAAAACTTAAAAAATAGAGAAAAAATTGAATTTGCAGATAAATTTATTTTATTGGGAGAATGTGTATTAAAAAGTAAGTTTGANATTGGGAGAATGTGTATTAAAAAGTAAGTTTGAAAAAAAATAAGTTTTTAAATAATGAAACTCAAATAGACACTAAATTTGTCTCAGATTCAGTATGACACATTCATTGTGTATCTTGTCTAAGTGGAAAATTCTAAACTACTTCTAAACCCATGTTTGTCTTCCATTCATTTAAAAATATTTTTTTATATACTCATTTTTAACCACACATTCACACAATAAAATATTATATACATAAACCAAGAACTTTTCTCTAATTTTTAACCATACATTCTCCAAAAAATTATTATTCAAAACAATGTTTTTCCCCCAAAAAATGACCACCAAACTGGGACTTTACTTTTCGCTACAAAAGTAAAATAAAAATAAATAATAAATTGAGCTCAAAAGAAAATAAAATTAAAAATTAACAGCGTTGACTGAAAATATTTTTATACATTTTCATTTAATATTTATTAAATATTTGTATTTAAATAATCACTGAAAGCTTGAACTATTTTTATTTTTAAGAATTTTCATTTTATTTAAAAATTTTATGTAAATAACATTAACACTTGAACTACTTTTATTTTTTATTTTTTATAAATTTTTAGAATTTTTTTTTTTTTTTTTTGAGCAAAATAATTCAACCCCCTCTGATGTAA